TAATTTACACCTTGCTTAAAACGCTAGGCAAATAATAAGGAGTGCCGTCCGCTTTCTTTGAAATTGTTATTTAACATTTACTCTATACGCTTCACCGTAATTATCAAATATTGTTTTCTTATCATTTTTTCGAGAACATTTTTTTTTAAATTTTAATATAAAAAAACAATTTTAAGGGCGAAAAAAAAATTATAACTGCTCATTAAAAAAATATTCCTTTTTGCGAGTTTATATATCTACATATGAAAAGTCAAAGGAGGTTGTGAAATTTAAGATCAGTTAAAAGGTGCGAAAGAGTGTGGCAGAAATGAGCATTTTCCTGGCACTTATTCTATTCGCAAAGATCAAAGTTAATTCGAGACCTTTCGTTTTACGCTCTCTCTCTCTCTCTCTTTCTTTTTGACTCATATAGTCCTATTGTCAAAAGCAAGTTCGTACAAATGCGCGCAACTAACCTTTTGCGCGCTAGGTCAGTTCATCAAGTCAAAGCACCAGTGAACTTTATTGAATTAGAGCCGTTTCCCCCGATAAACGGATCCATTAATTCCGCTCGCAGGCACAGGGCTTTAATGCCACAACCCCTGCTACTTTATCTTATTTGAAAGTTAACGATGCGTCACACACACACACACACGCCAAATGTCTTCAATAATTTAATAGCCCTTTTCTTCCATATAGTTATATTTATATTTAAAACTTAATTTTAGACAATTTTTGAAATTTATTTCTCACCGCCTAAAAAAATTCGTTTATTCTAATTTTTTTTTTCGTTTTTTAAACAAAAATAATGGAATTAAAAAAAAATTAGGGGGTCCGGAAATCACCCTGTATATAATTCTTTACTATATAATATGAAAAATTAAATGTAACATAAATTTTTGAATGAAATATTATTTTTTTCCCTGTTGTCTGACCGAATTTGTATTTTACTACTTATAGAAAATTTACAAAAGAATTTCCATCTTTTTGTTTGACTAAAATAATTATTTACCATACGGGAATAAATAGAATGACTAGAATGAAAAATATTCTGTCTGACTGAAACTGTATTTTACTACTGATAAAAAATATACTGTATGAATTCGTGAAATTAGATCACGATATTCGCGAATCTAGGTCGCGGAATTCGCGAAATCAGTTATTCTTTCGTCTGACTAAAACTAACTTTCTCTACTGATTAAATCAACCTAATTATAACGGTACTTTTTTATTTTCAAAGTTTTAAATAGTAATAATTATTATCTAAAACATTTGTAACCGCTTTTGTCTGACCCAGAAGTCTTTTACTACTGATTTTGAAATTTTAAAAAAAGAAAACATCTTGTCTGACAAAAACATGTTCTTACTACTAATAGAGTAGGTATATACTTTATTATTATTATTATTATTATTATTATTATTATTATTATTATTATTATTATTTTAATTTAATTTAATTTTTGTTCGATTAAATTTTATTCGATGAGAATATTTTATACAAATAAATTATGGAAAAAAATATTTAACCTACTTATGAATTTAAATTTATATCTTTAAATAAATAAATAATTTAATCGTAATGAATATAATCAGTTATTTTATTAAATTTACTATAATATATTAAATGAGCAGAAAATGTTGTTTTTTACCATTTTTTTTTTCAATGCAAATAAGACCTGAGGCTAAAAATTTCTGATAAAATAAATATTATAATTAATTGACAAATTAGACTGCAGGATCAACTAAATCAATTTAAAAAAAAAACGTTTTTCTATGTACCTGAACCTAAAAATAAAAAAAAATATTTAAACAATTAGAATCGGTGTTCTTGGCAACAATTTACAATGAAATAAATATTTATGAATTAAATTAGTGTCCGAAATCGAATTTGTTTGGGGTAAAAAAAAACGCTTATCTGACGGTTTCAGAACGCTAATTTTACATGTAAAATTGCATGAAATTTGAATTTTTCAGCACACACATACGGGGAGAAAAAAATTTCATTTAGGTTGAATAAATCTTGAAGTGGTGATGCTTGATTGCCAGTGGCAGTATTTCTTTCATTTTTTTTTTTTTTTTTTTTTTTTTTTTTTGTTAAACGACAAATAGTGCAGGCAATTTCGAGGGTAGTTGGGTGAGAGTTAAAAGTGCACCGGTTGTTCTAGCAGCACATTTCCTCTTTCTCTCTCTATCTCTCGTTTCCCTCTTTCACATACACACACTGTATGCAATGTCCACAGCACTGCATACAATACAATTGTCGATTGCATCCCACCGGTTCAGAGGTCGATTGCAGTCCCTTCGTGATTAACAGCCTGAAATACATACGCACGTTTGCATTCTGTTTTGCTGTTTGCATATATGTTGACATGCCAGCAGATATAGTCAATGAAGTTTCACACAACGAAAAAAAAAAGTAAAGTGATCGACGATCGATAATTTTCGAGTGTCTCTCTCTCTCTCATTATATGAGATATTTACATATATTTGTGTCAATTGTCGTACTAACTAAATGGAAATTGATGAAACCGACGTTTCTTTCAATTGCGACAAAGAACAATCAGACTCAATCATTATAGAGTATTCCACGATTTTTCCTTTCGACTTCTTTTTCATTTATTTCTTCTTTGACAATTGTCCATTCAAGAGTAAAATGAAGTAATTTTTTTGTAGTTTTTAAACTGGAAATAATAATAAATTCTTGTAATATATAATTAAAAGATTTGAAAAAACTTAATTCAAGATGAATAATATCTATTTATTATATTTATTATATTTACTATATCTAATACTTCACAGTATTTGAATAAACAATTTTTCTATTTGAAACAAATAACATTTTACAAGTATTTAATAAAAATATTTTTTTATAATAGTAAAATAACGGATTATTTTTTTTTTCATAAGGACAGAAAAAGAATGCCTAAATGTAGATAAATTTTCTTTTATCTTCGATTTATAAATTTTTAATACACGGGCAATTTTTTTTTCTGCTGAAAGAAAAGGAGAAAAGTTCGAATAAAGTGTGTAATATCAAAACGTATTTCAATTTTTGGGTCATGTGAAAAAGTAGGCCGGCACTATTTTCCCAAAGGATGGATATGCATAGGTCAAATGTACACCGAGTTATTATAGGCGCACATGAAACTAAATATAGTTCACGTTCTAAATTGTTAGATCACAAAAAACAAAAAATATTTATTACACACATAGCATAGGAATCAAATTGTTCTTTATTAAAAATCTATTCATAACAATTTTTCAATTATAAAATATTTGAAAATATTGTTCTATATAAAAATTTTTGTTTTTACTATTAAAAGTTAAAACTGATTGGAATTATATAGGAATATTTTTTTGTGATTTTTGCAATACGTCAGATGTCGTTAACTTTATTTTATTTTTTTTTTACGATATTGCTCTCTCTCTCTCTGTCTCTCTTTTTTTATACACAGAGACAGAAATAACGTGGAACACCTAGAAAAATCTCTTTCAACCCCTCTGGGCACACCAGTGGTGGAGATTTTAGTTTTTTCGTTTTGCACGCAAGCGATAGCGATCAGAAACGAAAAAATATATATCATATATTTCCTTTCAATCGTGAATGCCACGACGTGTCGTTATCGGGAAGTTTGATTGAGGGAGATTTTGATAACTGAAAAAAAAGTTAAAAGTACCATACAAATTTTCTGATCTGCAAATTTTAGTTATATATTCTATATAAAAATATAAAAGTATTTAAAAAAACTGATTTTTTCTGATTGTGAGTGGTTTTTTTTTATTGTTTCAAATTTTATTTATCTAACATAAAGTCATTATCGGCAAAATTAGTTTCCGAATTTTTCTCATTTTTAACTTTTGCTAAAAGTTTTAAAGAAGAGTGAAATTGAAATGAATATTTCAAAAGTAATTTGTTTTTCCATATAAACTCGGTGAAAAAAAAGAAGTCACCGAATTTAATGATAGGCAACAATGTAAGTTTTATGAGTCGTTATACTGTGCAATTTAATGCTCCACTTCACAAAATACGTGCGGCTTACGATTGTATATTCTTGATATTAAAATTAGAATGGCTGAGAAAAATATTCCAAACATTCGATATTTTTAAATAATTTTAAAGAAAATAGCTTATTTTACTTTCAAAATAAAAATATTATTTTATAAGGAACTTGTTAAACAATTGAAACATGATTTAATCGATATCATAATAAGAATTTTAGTCATTTTGTCTGACTAAAACTGACCTCTACTACTGATAAATTGAATTTTACTACTGATACGAAATTTAAAAACTTCTTACTAGAATTATAAGAATTTAAACTATGTCTGACTATAACCGTCTTTTACTACTGATATAAAAATTACTAGATTTTCTAACGTTACGTCTGACTAAAACTGTCTTTTACTACTAATAGAAAAAAATTCTCGTTATTTTTTACGTTTGTAACTCTGTTGCAAGCTGCACTGTCTAACCATAACGAACTTTTTCCACTGAGATTATAAGTGTAAAAGTATAAAACACACACGGTCTGACTGTAAAGGTTTTTTCTACTAATACATAAATTGAAAGATTCTAAACATCGTCTGAAAGAATTGGTATTTTACTACTGCTACAAAAAAATCTTGTTTCACTAATTTTAAATAAGTTTGTCTGACTAAAACGGTAATTTACTACTAATTTTAATTTTTTAATTATTAAATATATTTGGTCTGACTGGAACTGCCCTTTACTACTGAGATAAAGCAAAAAGAATTTTTAAACATGTTGGCTGACCTAAACGGACTTTTACTACTGATTTCATAATTACTAGAATATATGCTATATTGTCTGACTATAACTAATTTTACTACTGTTTTTTAGTTGCAGTACTAGTATTTTAAAATTAAAAATACTTGAAATATTTTGTCTTACCAAAAACTTACTTTTTCTACCGATTTCTATTTTTTTACTACTATAACTAAAAATTACAAAAAACTTTTTTATATAATACTAATTTTTTTTAATTTTTTAAAAATTTCAGATGCAGAGGGCGGTTCTCGTGCTCTGTTGGCTACCGCTCCTCAATCTATGCCAAGCTGTCAATCCAGGTGAGTTTTTCAAGACAAAAAAAAACATAAATCTTACTTCCTATCAATATTTTTCATTTATTATAAATATTAAGAAATTTTATTATTATATTATTATATTATTATATTATAAAAATGAAGATAAATAATTTGGTTAAGAGTATATAATATAGAGATAAATTGTTGAAAAGTTGATGGGAATAATTTAAATTAGCTTTTTTTTGCGGTGTATCTCAAATGTTTTATAAAACGATAGAAATGAAAATTCCCATTTATATTCATGTTTTTAACTACATCGCCCCCCCCCCTTTTTTTATACGCTTTTGTCTGTCAAACTAACTGAAGTTTACAACTTTCGTGTCGTGTATATGTAAAATCAGTACCCGTAATCACCAAACACAATGGACACGCTAGCCTGTCTAAATTTCTTACCCTCTGTATAGAGAGGCCACTGACGCCCATTTCATGTTTTACTATTATCGTTTTTTAATTATTTTAATTATCATCTTTCAAAATAAAATAGATTTCGCAAAATAAAAACGACATTAAATTTTAATTCAAAATTTTTTTTTCTTCAAAAAAAGAAACGAAATTACTCTCTAAATCTGAATTAGTAAAAATTTTAATTAATTTGAATTAGTAATTTACTTTTTGCTTTTGAATTAGTTAAATTTTACTAATTCGATAGCAAAAAAAAAATTTGCTTTACTATAAATTAGTTCAATTTTACTAATAAAAAAGCAAAAAGTGAATCACTAATTCAAATTAGTCAAAATTTGTTACTTTTAGTAAAATATTATACGATTTAGTATTTAAAATTTTTTACTTTAAGTAAAAAGTGACTAAAAATCAGTGAAAATTCCTACGAAATAATTAGTTACTTTTTATTATAATTTTTTTCACTCAGGTAAAAAAAAGGAATTAAAATATGATTTATATCGTTTTGGGAGAATCTTATAAATTTAAAAAAAAAAATATGCAAAACCGGAGAAAAAGCTTTTATGTGAATATAATGAAGATTTAAAATTCTGATGTTAAATTGCGAGAAAAGCAATAATAATTGAGGTAGAGGAACATATATATATACATATATATATATATATATATATAGGAAAATATAGAGATCTTTAATACATTTGTCACGCATGCAACAAATGTCTTTTAAACGGTCATAAGTTATGATTAGAGTGACTGTTCAAAGTCCCATAGGAACGCCAAAGCGGAATATAGTAAATTTATAACCAGAGTTTGCGCGTGCAAAAGCTTCGTCAGATAAGCGTTCTGTTGCAAGATTACCAGCACTTTTTTTTTTTTTTTTTTTTTTCCTAAAAGTCACGAATAACAAGAATGTACAGGTGGTTGTGGTGCCAAGGTACTTCATTACGTCCATATCATATGTGCATGACATGTTGTACCGTTGTGGTAATTTTTGATGATAAGGTTACACCCATGTAGAGAAATTAGAAAAAAAAAATTTGTCCACAGAGAAAAATAACAGAATGAAAAAATATAAATGAAACGTTATGGTATATATAAAGTGCGTTTGTAGGTAAATAATACTAAAAAAAAGTTAGTGAGTTATTTTTATGATGGAAAAATAAAAATAGAATGTAAAATTTCAAACATTTAGTCTTTTTTTTTACGTTTAAAATTTTTTTTTTTTCAATCTAATTTACTGGAAAAGAATCATGATTCTCATTTGGTAACGACTTTTTATTATTGACGCAGTGGAAATTCAAAAAATTCTACATTTCTCTCACGTTTCCTCATTTTAGAAACTTCCGACCCGACACTAAAAGTTGTATGTGTGGTTTTTTTTTTTTTTTTTTTCATTTTCCACCACACTAAATTTATTGGTAATCTTCTTTGACTCCATAAATCATGTATTATTGTGGATAAAAACTCGATTGACATATAATTTTTTATATTTTTTTTTTAAAATAGAATTAAATTTTTTTTTATATTTATAATAGAAAATTAAATAAACTAATATTCCAAATAATTAAATTAAATTTATAAATAATTTTAATCAGTTTTTAATTCGTCAATAAAAAATTCGATTCATTCACTGCAGTAGAGTGTGTGATTTTTTTCCAGTGTTCAAAATAAATACTTGTTTGCATTTTGTTATCCAAACGATAACAAGTTCGAGACATTTTGTTCTGTGGTCGAGGAAATAATTTACGATTTTTTTTTTTTATCACTTTTCAACATATTAACAATTAAAAATTTTCTTCTCTTTTGCAAGAGAAAACAATTAATTTATCAATTGATAATTAATAGATATTATTATTAATAATGAATAAGCAAAAAAAAAATTTTTTCAGTCAAAATAATTATTATTATTTAACGAGGGAAGAAATAGATAGGATTTCCATTATGTGGATGAAGGACAAAATTTGCTTGATATTTCATTTCTTCAAACTTTCTCACACTTTTAACGCTAAATTTTCGTAAAATTGATGTTAAAACAATTTTTTGCTCTGTTAGTGCAAATTTCATTCCTATACAATTTCTCGGTCCTGCACTAAATGGAATATATGCGTAAGGATTTCGATTTCGACAATTTTCTGGTAAAAATCGATCAGGATCAAATTTCAAAGGATCGGGCCATATTTCTGGATCCCGATGTAGGCAAAATATATGAAGTCCCAGATTTGTTCCTTTAGGAACAGTAAAACCATCTGAAAGGAAAAAATTACGATTATTTTTTTCTAACAATTATTATTGATATTTCTTTTATTTAATTAATTATCGAATTAATTAATTTTCGAAAAAAATTAATGAATTTCTTAATAAATAATTAATTCGATATAATTAATTAATTTGTTATAAAAAATTAATTTGTTACTATTAATAAATTTTCAAAATAGTTGACAGTATTAACAGATTTCTATATATTGTTTAAAACAGCAATTGTTTAAAATTATTATTAAGTTAAATTTTTTTAAACAAAGAAAATAAAATTCTCGTAATTTTTTTTTATCACCTAATTCAATGTCTTTTGTCAAAAGTCGTCCAATCATTGGAACGGAAGGACACATTCTGAGGTTTTCTTTGATCACTCGATCGAGATATGTGAGTTCGGCAATTTGTTGCATGGTTGCTTGTACCTTTGAAACACCAAATACAGCATCCAATTCTTCATGTATCTTTAGTTGAACATCAGGATTGTTTCCAATGTTAAATATCGCCCAGTTTATTGCTGAGGCAACTGTATCGTGTCCCTTAAAATAATTTTAAAAAAATTTCACCTCTGATTGAATTTTTTTCAACGTTTTAGAATTATATTAGAAAAAAAATTCACTCACAGCGAACATGAACGTTTCCACTTGTTCTCTTATTTCTTCATCTGTCATATGAACTTTCTCATTCTCGTCCAAATCCAATATGAGATCCAAAAATGCTTTTTTCTGTCGTTTACCTTTGGGGAAAAGAAATTAATTTCGTTTTTTAATTTTTCTGTAAAATTTAATTTCAATATATACGTTACCAAATTCATCTCGTTTGTCTTCAGAATTTTTCAATTTTCGCAATTGTCTGCGTTTTTTAATAATCTGAAAAAACCACCATTAAAAAATTTCGTATAAAAAAAAGAATATAAAAAATTAATTACTCCAATTGTAAAATTATTCGTCAGCTCTACACTTCTTTTAAAATCCTTTCCCATTTTTGTTTTATAAAATATCCAATCATAATTTAACCATGGATAAAAAATTCTCTTAACAAGAACTTGAAGTAAACTGTAAAATTATAAAAAATTAATTTTTTCAAAATCGTTTACTTTAATATATATTACACAATATAAATATACATACACTTCTAAAGCTTTGATATATTCTATGTCTTGATTCCTTTGAACGTCTATATTTGCTCCCATTGAAGTTTCTGAAATTGTATACGTGATATGAACAATAAATTTCTAAGAGGAGAAAAATATTCCGTTTGTAATTTTTTTTTTATGTTTTTATTTTCTTTTTCCTATATAAAAAGTGAATTATTATTTTTACCGCAAATAATATCTAGTGCACATCTGACAGAATGCTTATAAAAATCAATTGATTCTCCCGCATTCTCTTTTATTTCATTTTCTATACATTCAACAAGAATTTCTGCTTTTTCTGACATGGTTTCCATAAATTGATCCACAACACCAAAATGAAAAGCTGGCGTTAAAATTTTTCTATTGTGAAACCATTTTTCGCCTATATAAAAATAGTTAATGTTGAATTTTTTCAAATTTCATTTTTGTTAAATAAAAAAAAAAAACTGACCTGACGCGGTTATTAGACCATTACCCAACCATATATTATATTTTTGATATAGAGCAGCTTTTGTTATAGTTTCCATTTTTGGTAGAATAGCCTTTAAGATATTAAAAAAATTAATTTTTTTCTAATTTTTTGGGTTTTTTTTTTTAAATATTACCTCCATATGTCGCGGTTTACTTATGAAAAGATAAGAGTCCAAAAATACAGCGAGTTGCATGATACCTGTTTTTGATTTTTTATGAAGGTTGTGAATCCATGTTGATAGATCTAAATTTTGTTTTTAATTATAAAAAAATGTAATTTAAAATTTCCATTTTTGTTAAAAAATTAAAAATACTAATTTTTTCATGTAAGAGAAGTAAAATCTTGTGAATTACCTTCTCCTTTGACATTCCAAGCAGATAAACCAATATAAGGAATTGGATATGGTGCCGGACCGGGAAGTTTGTTAATCATGATAAAAAATCTTATATATTGGATGAATCTTAGGATATATTTATACAAACTTATTAAAATAATGGAAACTATTATTAAAAATAATGCCATTTTTATTTATTTTATTGATATTTCCCACTTATTATAATTAGTTAAATAATATATGAAAATGGTATAAATAATATTAATCCATAAGGTAAAATAAGAACACTAATTTTTATCACATTTTAATACAGCTGAACTATTTTCTCGAGAACAATGAATTTATTTATTTTTATTTTATTTAAATAAAAACAAAATTTATTATAATAAAAAAATATTATTATTTATAAATATATTAAATATTATTAATAAAAAAAAAAATTTCTATAATACAATAATCACAGCACTGTTGCGTCTGGTTAACTGAAAAATATTGTGAATAATCAATCAATTTATATATAAATTGAGAAGGTCAGTGAACATTTCGCATTTTTATATTATCAAAAAGTAAAAAGTTTATATATAGATATAATTATACATTGAACTGCGAGATAATGCTGTAATTTAAAAACAGATTTATATCCCTCTTGATAATTTTATATACATTGTCTCGTTTATTCGAAATTTATTAATATTATTACTATAATTATTATTAACCTTATTTCTTTGTTATTAACTAATTTAAATGAATTAGAAATTTTTTTTTAAATTAACAATTAAAGTATAGTATATGTCTAAAATATAATATAATTATTTATAAAATTGGAATAAAATATAAATTATAATATTCATCGAGGAAAAAAATAGATTCGATTTTCCTCATATGGATGAAGTATAACATTAGGTTGATATTTCATTTCTTCCATACTTTTAACACTTTTAACACGCCATTTTCGAAGGATTTTTGTTAAAATAATTTTTTGTTCCGCCATTGCAAATTTTATTCCTATACAATTTCCCGGCCCTCCACTGAATGGAATATAAGCGTAAGGATGTCGTTTTCGACAATTTTCTGGTAAAAATCGATCAGGATTAAATTTCATAGGATTTGGCCATAATTCAGGATCTCGATGTAGGAAAAATATACAGAGACCAAGATTTGCTCCTTTGGGAATGGTATAACCATCTGAAACAAAATTTAACATTTATTAGTTCGCAAATTAATGCTTAAATAATTTAGTAACAATTAATTAACTTAATTAATAATTAATTTTTTTAATTGTTAATTATTTAATTAATTAATAATTAATTAATTTTCAAATTATTTCGAAGAAATTTTTTTTTTTCTTTTAAAACCTAATTCAATGTCTTCAGTCACATGTCGTCCAATAAGTGGAATAGAAGGACATAATCTGAGGTTTTCTTTAATCACTCGATCGAGATATGAAAGTTGAGAAATTTTTTGCAAAGTAATCAGATCATTTGAATTTCCAAATACAGCATCCAATTCTTCATGTATCTTTAGTTGAACGTCAGGATTATTTCCTATGTTAAATATCGCCCAATTTACAGCTGCTGCAACTGTATCGTGACCCTTTTTAAAAAAAATTGCTAATTAAAAACTAATTCTTGATTCTGTTAAACATTAAATTTCTATAAAAACATTCCTACAATCAGGAATTAAATTCACTCACAGCAAACACAACTTTATCCACCTGTTGTTTTATTCCTTCATCTCCCATTTTAAATGTTTCATTTTCATCTAAATCCATTAAGAGATCCAAAAATGTTCTTTTCTGTCGATTACCTTGTTTGAGAGGAAAAAAAAATTTAATAATTTTATAAAATTAATTAAACTGTAAAAATTTAATTACCAAATTCATCTCGTTTCATTTCTCTATTTTTCATTTTCCGCAATTCTCTTCGTTTTTTAATAATCTGATAAACATTTTTCAATTATTAAATGAAGAACAAAAAAATAGTTGTTTATGAATTATAAAATCAAAAAAAATTACCTCTATTATAAAAGTGTTCGTCACCTCTAGAGACTTTTTAAAGTTCTTTCCCATTTTTGATCGATAAAATATCCAATCCCAATGTAACCATGGATAAAGCAATCTTTTTATAAATGAATAAAGCAATCTGAAAAAATGTAAATTAATTTTTCATCAAATTGTTTATTTTAATATATCACATACACATTTAAGGCTTTGAAATATTCTATGTCTTTATTCCTTTGAACGTCTATATTTGTTCCCATTGATGTTTCTGAAATTATGTTTACGTGATATGAACAATAAATTTCTAGAAAATATTTTTTTTTGCGATTATAAATATTTTTTACCACAAATAATATCTAGTGCACATCTGACAGAATATTTATAAAAATCAATTGCTTCTCCTGCATTTTTTTGTATGTCATTTTCTATACATTGAACAAGAATTTCCGCTTTTTCTGACATGATTTCTATAAATTGATCCAGAACACCAAATTGAAAAGCTGACATCAAAAGTTTTTTTTTCTGAAGCGCTTTTTCATCTATATTTAAAATTTTTGAATTTTTTTTTTAGTTAAGTTTCTTTTTGAATTAAAAAAAAAGGAAATTATTTTTCTTTTACAAACTGACCTGACGATGTTAATAGACCATCACCTAACCAAAATTGATAATTATGATATAGAGTAGCTTTTGATAAAGTTTCTGTTTTGTTTAGAACAGCCTGAAGATTAATAAGATAATTTTAGAAAAACAAATTTATTAATTGCATATTTTTTTTTAGTACCTTACCTCTATATGTTGAGGTTTACTTATAAAAATATAAGCGTCTAAAACTATAGCCAGTTGCATGATACCTTCTTTGAATTTTCCGTATTGGTTCTGAAGCCATAATGCTATATCTAAAAATTTTTTTTTTTTATTTAAAAGTCATGTTTTTCTTAAACAAAGATAAGCAATAAAAAATTATTAAAATTAATTTTGAAATAGTGAAACCTTTTATTAAAGAAACGTATATAAAATGAAAAAAAATTCATTTCATATTTTAATTAACTCATAAATTCCACTTTTGTTAGTAATTAAAAGTTACACAATTTAAACTACTAATTTTTTTTTATCTATAGGAATAAATAATTTTTTTATAATTTACCTTCTGGTTTGTTTGCACCAGCTAAAGCCACATAAGGTATTGGATAAAATGCCGGACCAGGTATTTTATTAATCAGGATAGTAAATTTAATAAATTTTATTAATCTTGGAATGAATTTATATAAACTTATTAAAATAATAGAAACTGTTATTATTCCAAGCGCACCCATTTTTTTATTATCTTTATTTTTAATTTATTGTGAATAAATTCAAGTTGTTTTTAATTTGTCAATAGAAATTAATTTTATACACTATAGCAAACTGTGATTTTTTTTTTATTTCGGAGTGTACTTATAATAAATAATAGAATAATAGTTTAAAGAAATACAAATTTTAAAATATAAATTCAATTAAATTTTGTTAATTATATTAAATAAAATGAAATAATATTATTAAATCCGATCTACAAAGGAGCGATTAGTTAACTGAATAATAGTGAGTAATCGATCAAGTTATATATAAATAGCGGAGGTCAATAAAAAAGTTCACATTACAATGTTCTGTATAAGTGAATAACTTATAATAAATATAATGATATATTGAACTTTGAGACAATATTGCAAATCGATTAATATTCAATACTCATCACTTCATTATCATTATTTTAAAAAACAAAAGGTGTATTTTAATTAATTTTTTATTTTAATTTAATTATTTTAAAACACGTGTATTTTGTTACATTTTTTTGATACACTTTTTTAAATTTCACAAAAAATAATATTAATAATAATAAGAATACTAAGATAATAATATTATATTTATCCACTGAAAAAAGGGTTTGGTATTGACAACCAAACGTTTGGTTGGTATTTAAGCAACCAAATTTTTTTTATTGAATCAACAAAATTTTGGTTGTCCCAATCAAACTTTAGTTAGGACAACAAAAATCCTTTTTTTTCTAATTCTGGTTGTGTCAAACAAATTTTGATTGAGACAATTAAAATTTTGTTGATTCAACAAAAAAATTTTGGTTGATTAAATACCAACCAAACGTTTGGTTATCAATACCAAACCCTTTTTTTCAGTGTCGAGGAATAAAATAGATAGGATTTCCGTTATGTGGAGAAAGGATCAAATTAGTTTGAAATTTCATTTCTTTAGGACTTTTTGCACTTTTAACGCGCCATTTTCGTAGGATTGCTGTTAAAACAATTTTTTGTTCCGCCATTGCAAATTTTGTTCCTATACAATTTCTCGGTCCAGCACTGAATGGAATGTAAGCGTATGGATTTCGATTTCGACAATTTTCTGGTAAAAATCGATCGGGATCAAATTTTTCAGGATCAGGCCATGTTTCTGGATCTCGATGTACAGAAAATATAAGAAGGCCAAAATTTGTTCCTTTTGGAATAGTATAACCATCTGAAATGAGATTATTTTCTCAATGAAAATTTTTCAGAAAAGAAAATAAAGTTTTTATATAGTTTTTTTTTGGATTACCTAATTCAGTGTCTTCTGTCAAAAGTCGTCCAATCACTGGAACAGAAGGATAGAGTCTGAGGTTTTCTTTGAGAACGCGTTCTAGGTATGAGAGTTGAGAAATTTGTTGCATAGTTGCTGGTTCCTTTGAGTCACCAAATACAGCATCCAATTCTTCATGTATCTTTTTTTGAACTTCCAAATTGTTTCCAATGTTGAAAATCGCCCAATTTATTGCTGATCCAGTTGTATCATGACCCTTGATAAAAAATGAAAAAAGTTTTTTATGGAAAAAGATACATTTTTGGAATTAGGAATTAGGAACTAGAAACTAGGAATTAGATTCACTTACAGCGAACATAAAAGTTTCGACCTGCTGTCTAATTTCTTCATCAGTCATATGAACTTTTTCATTCTCATCTAAATCCAAAATAAGATCCAAAAATGCTTTTTTCTTTCGTTTACCTTGATTAGGAATGAGGAATTTAGTTTTCTTAATTTTCGTCTGCAATTTATTAATAAATTTGTATAAAGAAATTACCAAATTCGTCTCGTATGTCTTCCGAATTCTTCTTTATGCGAAGTTGCCTTCTTTTCCTGATAATCTAAAAAGAAAATTAATAACTATTTCATATCAAAAATAAAGAAATACAATTCAAAATTACAAAATTTTTATATTACGTCGATTGTAAAGTTTTTCATCATCTCTGCAGAATTTTTACAATCCTTTCCCAATTTTGTTTTATAAAATATCCAATCCCATTTTAACCATGGGTAAAATCCTCTTTTCGTTAGTCCCAAAATTAAACTGTAAAAAAAATAATGAAAATTAATTTTGAAATATGGAAATTAATTTTCTATATATTTGCAAAAACTGTTTAAATACATTTCTAAGGCTTTGATATATTGTATATCGTGATTCCTTTGAACATCCATATTTGCTCCCATTGAAGTTTCTAAAAATAATCGAAAATAATTTATTTTCTCAAGGAGGAAAAATATTCCTTTCAGAATTTTTTTCTCTTTTGCAAATATAAAAAGTGAATTATTTTTTTACCACAAATAATATCTAGTGCACATTTAACAGAATATTTAAAAAAATCAATTGATTTTTCTGAATTTCTTTTTAATTCATTTTCAATACATTGTACAAGAATTTCAGCTTTTTCCGACATAAATTCTATGGATTGTTCCAAAACACCAAAATGAAAAGCAGGTGTTAAAAGTTTTCTATCATGATGCCATTTTTCACCTATAAAAATTTTTTATTGTAAAATTTATCTTTTTAAAAATTTTTTTTTTTATTATTTTTTATATTATTTTTGTATTATTTTTTTTACATTATTATTTTATATCAAACTAACCATTCGAAGTTAATAGACCATCACCCAAAAATAAACGAAGTATGTCATACAAATGAGCTTTTGTTATATTTTCCGTTTTTGGTAGAATAGCCTTTAGAAAAAAATTAATAAGAAGATATTTCATTATTAATTTATTTGTATTTATTTTTTTATTTCTATTAAATTACCTCCATTAGTCGTGGTTTACTTATTAAAATATAAGCATCCAAAAAAACAGCAACTTTTATGAGACCTTTTTTGAATCTTTTATTAAGATCATGAATCCATAATATGCGATCTAAAAAAAAATAATTTGATTTGGAAATAGTATAAGAAAATCTTTCAAGTTTTCTTTTTTAAATTTTCTTTTTAAAAAATTAGTGAAATGTCTACGTTATTCAAGAATTTGTTTCCTAATTTTTTAAAAAGAAAATTTAAAAAAGAAATTGTTTTTTTTTAAATTACCTTCTTCTTTGATTTTCAAAGCAGCTACAACGAAATAAGATAATGGATATGGTACAGGACCGGGAATTTTGTTAATTGTGATAAAAAATTTAATAAATGTGATTAATCTATTGATATATTTACATAAAATTATTAAAATAATAGAAATTAATATTACAAATGCACCCATTATTCTTATTTTAATCCGATCAATAATGCTGCTTCCGAATAACTGAAGAATTGTATTAATGATTAAACGGATTTATATAAAAATATAGATGTTTAATGAATATTTAGAATCGTCAAATTATGTAAATTATGAATAAGTGACAAGTTTGTAAAAAAATATAACGATATATTGAATTGCAAAGTAACAATTTTTTACAATATTACACTTAACATTGTAAGTCTTTTCAACAATGTTGCGACTAATTAATTTAATAATTGTGAATTGATTCTTTTTTCTAGTTTTCCTTGATTAAAGATCATATGATTATAGTAAATAATTTACATGCAAATATTCTCCTCAGATTTTCTCACAAAATTACTTGATACAATGAATGAAAATTTTGTGGATAATTCAAAAATAGTATGAGAATTTTTTGTCATGCGTTCACTATATATTTATTATTATTTATCGTGAATAGAAATAAATTGGATTTCCCTTGAATGGAGAAAGGACCATATTAAATTGAAATTTCATTTCTTCAGGACTTCTTCCACTTTTAATGCGCCATTTTCTTAGGATTGATGTTAAAACAATTTTTTGCTCCGCCATTGCAAATCTTAATCCTATGCAATTTCTCGGTCCAGCACTAAATGGAATGTAAGCGTATGGATTTCGATTTCGACAATTTTCAGGTAAAAATCGATCAGGATCAAATTTCATAGGATTAGGCCATGTTTCAGGATCTCGATGTACGGAAAATATAGAAATGCCAATATTTGCTCCTTTGGGAATAGTATAACCATCTGAAATAATATTATTTTCTCAATGAAATTTTTTCAGAAAAGAAAATAAAGTTTTTACATAGTTTTTTTTCGATTACCTAATTCAGTGTCTTCTGTCAAAAGTCGTCCAATCACTGGAACAGAAGGATAGAGTCTGAGGTTTTCTTTAATAACTCGTTCGAGGTATGTGAGTTCAGCAATTTGTTGCATCGTTGCTGGTTCCTTTGAGTCACCAAATACAGCATCCAATTCCTCATGTATCTTTTTTTGAACTTCCAAATTGTTTCCAATGTTAAAAATTGCCCAATTTATTGCTGCCCCAGTTGTATCATGACCCTTGATAAGAAATGAAAAAAGTTTTGTATTGAAAAAGATACAAAATCATTTTTAGAATTAGGAATTAGGAATTAGAAACTAGGAATTAGATTCACTTACAGCGAACATAAATGTTTCGACCTGCTGTCTAATTTCTTCATCTGTCATATGATTCTTCTCATTTTCATCTAAATCCAACATTAGATCCAAAAATGCTTTTTTCTTCCGTTTACCTTGTTTAGGAAAAGGAATAAAATTTTCTTAACTTGTTTCTACAATTTAAAATAAATTTTGTATAAAGAAAATTACCAAATTCGTCATGTTTGTCTTCTGAATGATTCATTTTACGAAGTTGCCTTCTTTTCCTGATAATCTGTAAGCAATATCAACAATTTCATATGAAAAATAAAAGAAAAATACAATTCAAAATTCTAAAATGAAATGATATGAAATGAAATTGAAATTGAAATTTCAATTTACATCGATTGTAAAGTCTTTCATCATTTCTATCGAATTTTTACAATCCTTTCCAATTTTTGTTTTATAAAATATCCAATCCCATTTTAACCATGGATATAATGGTCTTTTCGAAAGTCCCAAAGCTAAACTGTAGAAAATTAATTGAATATTATAATTTAAAAATATGTAAATTAATTTTATTGTTATATTTTACAAAAACAGTTTACATACATTTCTAATGCTTTGATGTATTGTATATCGTGATTCCTTTGAACATCCATATTTGCTCCCATTGAAGTTTCTAAAATATTAACAATAATTTTATTTCTCTATGAGAAATATCTCTATTTCGTTTGAAATTTTTTTTTTCTTTTGAAAATATATAAAACGTATTATTTTTTTACCACAAATAATATCGAGTGCACATTTAATAGAATATTTAAAAAAATCAATTGATTTTCCTGAATTTCCTTTTAATTCATTTTCTATACATTGAACAAGAATTTCAGCTTTTTCCCACATAAATTCTATGGATTGTTCCAAAAGACCAAAATGAAAAGCAGGCGTTAAAAGTTTTCTATCATGATACCATTTTTCACCTATAAAAAAAAATTTGAAATGTAGAATTTATGTTATTTGAATTTTTTTTTAATATAATTTTGATATCTTTTTTTTTTAAATATTATTTTATATCGAACTGACCATTCGAAATTAATAGACCATCACCCAAAAATAATTGAAGTATGTCATATAAATGAGCTTTTGTTATATGTTCCGTTTTTGGTAGAATAGCCTTTAGAATAAATTAATAATAAGATATTTCATTGGCAATTTATTTGAATTTTTTTTTTATTTTCTATTAAATTACCTCCATTTGTCGTGGTTTAGTTATTATAATATAAGCATCCATAAAAACAGCAACTTTTACGATACCTTTTTTGAATCTATCAGTTATATTATGAATCCATAATAAGCGATCTAAAAACAATTTTAATTCAAAAATAGTAGTATAAAAAATTTTTGAAATAATTTTACTTTAAAAAAAAGATATTGTTTTTTTATAAATTTACCTTCTTCTTTAATTTTTAAAGCAGCTACAATGAAATAAGATAATGGATATGGTACAGGACCGGGAATTTTGTTGATTGTGATAAAAAATTTAATAAATGTGATTAATCTACTGATATATTTACATAAAATTATTAAAATAATAGAAATTAATATTAAAAGTGCACCCATTTTTCTTATTTTAATATGATCAATAATAATACGTTCGAATAACTGAAGAATTTTATGTATAATCGATGAGATTTATATATAAATATTGAATGCTAATGAATATTTGAAATTATAAAATTATTAGTAATTAAATCATGAAGATATAATTATATATTGAATTGCAAAATAATAATTTTTTACAATATGCCATTTAACTTTTGAACAATGTTGCTTGATTGAAAAATTGTGAATAATCAATCATAATTTCCGTGTAAATAATTAATGTTAACATTTTGAATTATAATTTTATGAATAAGAAAAAAGAACAGATATATATTGCACAGTGAGTGAACATATTCGTCTTGATATAGTCTACTTTTTTTTCACAAATTTTTTTTAATTTTATCGAAAGAAATTTTATTTAATTATAATCTTTGTGTGTTTAATATTCCATGAATATTATTTTGTATTGAGGATATTTGTTACATATAGCAATTATTAAGAGTGAAGAAATACAAGAGAAAAAAAAGTTTTTCTTTTCTCTCGTTTTCCTTGAAACTTATAAGATCGCAGTTTTCATATTTATTAAAAACGATCAAGTTTAAAATCATTTACGCGTTATAATTTTTTGTAACTCACAACTTTAAAAAAAAAAAAAAAAAACTATTATTATTTATCGTGAATAGAAATAAATTGGATTTCCATTATGTGGACAGAGAATTAAATTTGCTTGATGTTTCATTTCTTCTGGACTTCTTTCACTTTTAACATGCCATTTTCGTAGGATTGCTGTTAAAACAATTTTTTGCTCTGCCATTGCAAATTTCATTCCTATACAATTTCTCGGTCCTGCACTGAATGGAATGTAAGCGTAAGGATGACGATTTCGACAATTTTCTGGTAGAAATCGATCGGGATCGAATTTTTCAGGCTCGGGCCATATTTCTGGATCACGATGTAGGCAAAATATAAAAAGGCCAATATTTGTACCTTTAGGAATAGTATAACCATCTGAAACGAAAAATTTTGCAAATTACTTTTTTCTAATAATAATAATTATTTTTTTTCATATTTAATTTAATGAATTAATTAATTTTTGAATTTATTAATTTTCGAAAATTAGTAAAACAGAAAAAAAGTAAAAACTAATTTAAATTAGTTAAAATTTTTACTAATTCAGATTTAAAGAGTATTCAACCTATTTCAGTATCTTCGGTCAAAAGTCGTCCAATCATTGGTACTGAGGGATAGAGTCTGAGATTTTCTTTAATAACTCGTTCGAGGTATGTGAGTTCAGCAATTTGTTGCATTGTTGCTGGTTCATTTGAGTCACCAAATATTGTGTCTAATTCTTCATGTATCTTTTTTTGAACCTCTGGATTGTTTCCAATGTTAAAAATTGCCCAATTTATTGCTGATGCTGTTGTATCATGACCCTTCACAATAAAAAATTTTTTTTATTAAAAATGATTGTCATTTTGTTTTTAAAATGTACAAAATCATTTCTGTAATTAGGAATAGGATTGAGGAGTATGAAGTACAAATAGGATTTAATAATAGGAATTAGGAACAGAATTTCATATTAGGAATTAGGAATAGAATTTCAGAATAAGAATTAGGAATAAGATTTAGAAACAGGATTTAGAAATAGAATTTTGGAATCGAATTTAGGAATTGGATTTGAAAATAAACTACGGAATATAATTTACGAATTAGATTTAGGAATTAGATTCACTCACAGCGAACATAAATGTTTCGACCTGCTGTCTAATTTCTTCATCCGTCATATGAACTTTTTCATTTTCATCCAAATCCAACATTAAATCCAAAAATGCTTTCTTTCGTCGTTTACCTAGTGAAAAAAAGGATTCTAATTTTATTAAATTATCTTTTATTATTTGTAGAATTATAAAACGTAAATTACCAAATTCATCATGTGTGTCCTCGTAATTTTTCATTTTTCGAAGTTGCCTTCGTTTTTTAATAATCTTAACAAAAAAGAAGAATAAATTACTTTTCTTCCGCTCTAAAATATGTAAAATAAAAATTAATATAAAAAATTTTACCGCAATTGTAAAATTTTTCATCATCTCTGCAGATTTTTGACAATCCTTTCCTAATTTTGTTTGATAAAATATCCAATCCCATTTTAACCATGGATAAAAAATTCTTTTTGTAAGTCCCAAAAGTAAACTATATGTAAAATTTTTCGATATGGAAAATTAATTTACGTTTATATTATGAATATAATTTTGGCTTTTATATATTTAGATAACAGTATTTACATACACATCTAACCCTTTGATATATTGTATATCTTGATTCCTTTGAACATCCATATTTGCACCCATTGAAGTTTCTGAAATATTATACTTTAATAATTTTCTTTAAGAGAAGAAAAATCGTTTTGTAATATAAAAAAAGTGGATTATTATTATTTATTTTTTTTACCACAAATAATATCTAGTGCACATCTGACAGAATGCTTATAAAAATCAATTGATTTTCCAATATTCATTTTTATTTCATTTTCTATACATTGAACAAGAATTTCAGCTTTTTCTGACATTGTTTCCATAAATTGATCAACAACACCGAAATGAAAAGCTGGCGTTAAAAGTTTTCTGTTGTGAAACCATTTTTCGCCTATAAAATTTAGAATTTTTATTCGAATTTGTTGGAATTTTTTTTTCTGTGTGTTTTTTTTTATAGATATGAATACTGACCTGACGATGTTAATAAACCATCACCCAACCATTGTCCAAATGTATTATATAGATAAGCTTTTGTTATTGTTTCTGTTTTTGGTAGTATAACCTTTAGAAAATGATTAATAAAGATTCCTTGTATTTATTTTAATTTTATTCTTTTTTTTCATATTTGTTAACTTACCTCTATTTGTCGTGGTTTACGTATTAAAATATATGCGTCCAAAAATACAGCGAGTTTCATAATACCATTTTTAAATCTTCGATGAACACCAACAATCCATTCAAAACGATCTAAAAAGATTTTCCTTTTATAGAAAAATAGTAATTTAAAAAAAAAAATATTTCAAATATTGTAAAGAAAAAAAAATTATTTTTACCTTCTTCTTTAACGTTCCAACCACTCAGTGCAAGATATGATATTGGATACGGTGCCGGACCAGGAACTTTATTAATTAGGATAGAAAAATTAAAAAATTTAATTAATCTTGCAATACATTTACATAAACTTATTATAATAATAGAAACTATTAGTATTCCAAGTGCACTCATTTTTTAAAAAATTTCTTTATAATTTGTCTAAAGAAAAAAAAAAAAAAACTAAAATCAACTTAATACGTATTTTGTCAATAAATTCTTTTTATATACTAGTGCGACTGTGAAATTATTTTAATTCCGTAGTGGCTGAAATTTCGCATTTTTTTTTTTATCCAAACGATAATAAGTTCGAGACACCTTGTTCTTTGGAAGGGGAAGATTATTGTAATGTTGTTCTTAATTGTCTCCGAGTTTGTGAATAAAAAAATTGAAAAAATTTCTTATGCAAATGAAGGAGCACATAATTATTTAATATTTAATTGACAATTATTTTATTCATTAATTTAATTAATTATTTATAATAATTGGTAATAATATTTTTCTACATTTTATTATTATTATTATTATTATTATTATTATTATTATTATTATTATTATTATTATTATTATTTAAATATTTAGAGTAAATGAAACATTTTCAAGAATGCTTTGATTTCAAATGTTTTGTTTAATTTAAAATTTCTTTATAAAAGAGATAATTATAATTATCTTTTAATCTGGGATTTAATCTATTTTTTTTCAATAATTTTTGTAATTAATTAATTAAGTAATTTTTGTGCAAAATACAATTAATTTCATTTCTGAAACATATATATGTATTCATATCTATAAAGTAATAATGTGATATTAGTCCATACGTTGTTTAAAAGGTCATTAAGATAAATTGTAAATTATTTTTCTCTTGTGTCTTATCAATTTTGATAAGAATATCTTAATTTTGCTCATTTATATCCACTAAATTTCACTGAATATAATTACAATATGCGTGTTGTTTCGATATATCAATTATTATTGTTATTATATCAATGTAGAATTAAAATTATGTTTACAAACAATTGGAAAATTCAATATTTTTCATTTTTTTTTTGCAGAAAAAAGTTTGTCATAAATATTACATTTTTGCTATTATTAATTATTATTAATTTATTTATATTTTTTTTTATTTATATTTAATTATTATTAATTTATTGTTAATGTTAATTTTTTAGAAATTTTTTTTCATTATTATTTTTTGATTAAATTTTTTTGTCAATATTAGTTTGGTTTTTTTATGGTGAATTTAAGACTGCTATTTGAAATGTTTTATGTTACAAATTCTTAATATCGTTTTCGTGATACATTTTTATCGTAAAACGTGTGTGTGTGTGTAAAATCAATTGTTAAGTTTTCGTTTTTCCATTCCTATAAGGGTCGTTTTTATATATAGTTCAATGAGAGACATAAATGGTGGTAAGAGTATATAAAAGAACGACTTTCACATCTAGCGCGCATCCAAGTAAATGCGTCCGGAAACTTTGCAAATAACTGCGCTTTGCTCGCGCGCGAGATCAATGATATAAACTTTTGTTAAGTTGCACGTGCCGCTGGTTTAATCGATCCTCGTCGACTCTCGAGGTAAAACCCTCTCTTTCTCTATCTCTCTCTCTCTCTCTCTCTCTCTCTCTCTCTCTCTCTCTCTCTCTCTCTCTCTCTCTCTCTCTCTCTCTCTCTCTCTCTCTCTCTCTCTCTCTCTCTCTCTCTCTCTCTCTCTCTCTCTCTCTCTTTATATATGTATATATATAAAGTACATGCCACGGAGCCAAACTGAACTCAACCATTGCTAAACCGATCAGCCACGATTCGAAATCTGAAGTCGAACCAATTCAACCATAGTTGGCAACCTCGCGGTTTCATTGTGGTCTTGCTATTCGACTGTTCGCAAAACCTCACCTTGTTACCAACTTGTGTAAAACTTTCATCAGGGGGGGGGAGGGGCCTCTTCTATACACAAGTTTGTGAAACTTTATTTGCTTCTATTCTTAATTATAGGAATGATTATCAATGCTTTATATATTTACTTCGAAAATTTTTTTTTTTGTAATTTTGAAATCGGATGACAGATATTTGAAAATATATTGAAAATACAAATAAGATAATAGAAAATAACATTAGAAAATAATAAGAATTAGAAATTTTAAGAAGGACAATAGAAAAAAGAATAATTAAAAAATAAGTAAACTATTTCCCTGGAATAGCGATATATTTCACTAAAACAGTAAAAGTTTTAGCCACTCTAGAAAAACATATCGCTTTTTCAGATAAAGATTTTTTTACATGAGAGATAACAATTCAGGTTAGCTAAGAGAGCCAAATATTAGCTGAAATAGCGAACATTTTTTGCACCTTGTAAATATAATTCAAAATATAACAAAAATGCGATAATAGAATATACAAAAAATATCACTGGAAATGAAAAATAACCAGAAAAAAACCAACACGGAAATAAAACTTGGCAAACGATGGAATTAGATACAAAAAAAGAAACAAAAAAAAAAAAACAAAAAATATATATAAAATAGAAATGCAATTGAAAAGTAATAGAATTTAAGTGGAAAAATGAAGAATAAGAATACAAGTACGGTTCGCCGCATTCAATAACGGTTTACCAAAGGAATTTCATTGGTCAATTTGAAAATACTTCTTGATCCTGGAATTTCCCTTGTGGCATTGCCTCTCCGGATGGAGAAGCGCGTCCTTAACTTTAAGTGCCTTTAAATAAAGAAAAGGATCAAGAGAGAGGCAATCTTTATCTTACACAAGCCAGTCAAAAGTCTCTTATATGCTTGCGGTAAATCCGCAACGTTTGAAACTTAGCTCATATATACATATATATATATGTAAGTGTTGACATTGTCGAAGGCATTTGCGTGTGGTTTATTGAGCTGAAGTTTCAACTTTATATATATATACAGTACTCTGTCTGCAAGCTCGATTTGAGTACTGATGAATAATGTACTTTATTATCAAATACTTTACATGGGACTTCAAATTTCCTACGCAAACTCATTTCAAAATTGACATAAATTATATATATTTTTACTATATACAAAAAAATTTATAAAAATTATTTTTTTATCTAACGAAACAAAAAATTTGATTAATTAACAATTTAATTAGTTCTATACTGAATTCAAGAAAAAAAAATTTAATAGCAAATGAAGGAAAAATGTTCCTCATTTATTGAAATGATAAGTTTAAAACTTATAAGAAAGTCTCGCGATTGATTGATTGAATTTCTCAGCTCAAAAAGTTCCACCGTATATAAACTTTTCCTAAAAAACGACTGATAACTTTCGTTTCTGATTCTTGAATACTATTCACATTCTCTCTCTCTCTCTCTTTTTTTTTAGGCAATTAACTCATGTCCCCCTTCCTTTAAATTTATCAATTTATTTTGTTTCCTACAGAGCGGGAACAATTTCTGTTTTTTTTTCGCAGAACGTATTCTACATTTATATGGTTTGCAAGTCTTTTTATTCTTTTTTTTTTTTTTTAAAGTTAATTTACCCTCGAGGTTGTGTCGCACAGTAACAAACGAGTTCCAAGTTCATAGAGACGTAAACTCACTTGGAGAAAATCCATGTCGATTGGATATTGAGACGTAAAAAAAAGAACCCCTCGCGATCGTAAAAGTTTTACTTGCTGGAATAAGTAAAATGATTATCCGAACGCCAACTTTCTCAAATTTTACACTCGTCTTGAGTGATTTACCACTGATTTAAAATTACTTTATTCTTTAGATGAGAAACTATTTAAGTAGAATTCACTTATGCGCACGAAAGTCATTTACCTCTCTCTATATCTGATTATTCATGTTCGTTAGAGACAAGAGCGTCTATAATTTTTTTTTTTCGATATAAGAGAGAGTTTGATCAATTGATATTTTTTGAGATAAAAATATAATTTTATAATGTGTAATTAGAATAAATGATGTTGAAATTTTAAAGAAGATTTTGGATTTTTTATTCGTTTTGTCTCTTTATAAGTAGAAAAATACGTTTTCAGTCAGACGAAAGTATAAATAGTCTTTATAAATTTTACTATTAGTAGTAAATGTCAGTTATTAAATTCTAATTTTTGTAGACAGACGTGATTTTTTTTAACCCTTTGGATCTAAGTACTACACTTCAGTTAAAGTAAAATATTTAATATTTAATTAAATAATTTAATTAAATTTTTTCTTTGACCTATTATATATGGGAAAAGTAAAGACACATTGGGTTTTGCATTCGTTAGCACAAACAGACCATCAAAGCAGTTCAGACATGTATGCAAATGTTCTTCTCAACAACCGCTTCATTGATCCTTTAGTGATGTTAAGTCAAATATGTGGCGTGATCTCTCGCACAACGATTCGTAAATTATTCATTACATTTACTCACTCACTTCTCAGTAATTCCCCTTTTAGCCCAACACCGATAGAACACATTTACATTTATAGATTATTATTTTTCTATACAAATAATTTTAAAAACACTTCTTTCAATTAAGGACCCAAATTTAACGCATGTAAAAAAAAATTTCTTTTAATTTAAACATAAAATTTTCCCACGAATTTTTAATTCGGTAAATCAGAGTTAATCAATAGTAACAATTCAATAAGTTACCACAAAACGAGTGCAGAGTAACAAAAGTTTCGATTATCAGACACAAAAATTTTTGCCTCGGTGGAAATTCAATTCGAGAAAACCTCGTCGAGAGATAATCCTCAGGAGATGGAATCATTTTCAATGATTACTTCCAATATTACTTTTCTTTTTTTTTTTTTTTTTTTGGTGTGGCACAAAAGTAGAAAGATTTCTTCAACCCTAATAAAGTCATAAGCAATGAAGGGTTTTACGCTAGAAAGCTGATAACGATGACAATCAGCAATGTCGATGTGAAGGTCTGAAGCTTTAATCTCGGGAAAATCCAATCTATCGACCAAAACCCCTAAATGCAACACGCGGAGGGAACCAATTATCTTTGTTCCTTAGGGGTTGCTAAGCCTAACCAAGCTTGGAGCGCCAAATTAAACTGTAGCGTATCTAAATTTCTACGTATAATCCACGAGAGTACCGCAAGCACGTACACATTTTGATGAATATTCTAATCCTTTCTATACCTAATTTGCTAAAACATTGTCAATATTTTATTATCACTAAAAATTTCTTCGAGTTAAAGTTAAATGAATACTACTGATTAAGAAAAATTTAATGTCTAACCATAAATGATATTCACTACT